ATTAGGATTTTCCTTGTGTTGAAATTATTAACTCTGTGTTGGCGATAAAAAGCTTTTTAACTATTTGTCACCGTCATCATAGCGCATTTTGTATAACACAGTGCTTTCTCCATGAGCCCAGTAGAATAAATTTGGAAATCTGTATGATCTTTGACAATCGTAGATATCTTGGCGCCAAGTCAAATCCAGCCGTTTGGGAAAGCTCTGATTTTAAAGTAATTTTGAATTTTGATTTTGATTCGCCTGTGGGTGTTATCGAACCCTTTAGCTAGATCTGTGGTACTTCAGTTAAAATCAAGTCAGAATGGGTTCCCTTGGGCGCATTTCTGATATTGTTGCTTCATTTTCAGGAAACTCTATAAATTTGTGGCTCTATTTCCGTATATCATATCATAAATAGCATTGTGTTGATGATGCGATTCTTGTTCTGCATTAGTTTTTAAATTGGTTTTGATCACGTGCACGGAAATTGTGCTGATTCTAGCTGCTAGTTTTTTTGGTGTACCAAATGTACATGAGGCGATCATCACGTTAGTTGATGCAATATAACCAGACGACGCAGCTATATGTGCGATTCTTTAGTTGGGACGAGACACGACTGAGGCTCCATGCCTCCTCCTGATTGGCTGCAATTCCTCTGAACAAGGTCACACGTACTACTTCACATCATAGCTGGAAAAATGAACTAGTTTTACAGACAAAAGCCACATCAAACGTATAAAATACATAGAGTCGTCAATGATTTTCCGTATCGTTTTCAACTTATACATCGAGGAATGAGGTCAGTAGATTCGTTTTACCCTTAACTTTCTACTTACACTGGTGTTTAGTCATTTATGTTTGCTGGGCCTTTTTTTCCCAACTCACACAGGCTTCGCGTAATGACAAATCGCATGGAAGGCGCTTGTCGACTTTCGGCAAACATGGAAGAAATTTCTTGTTTTTCAAAAAATTAGCACTTGTAAGAAGAGACTGCTGTGGCCCAAGTAACCACCCAGAAAAAATTAAAGGATGTTTACCGTCAACATTAACAAACCACGTTCCGACATGTTGCAGGAAAACAATTTCAAACATAGAATTTCGTTAAATCAACCAGTTATTCATGGGATTAGGTAACTCAATAATGGCATTAGTCATGCGAAAACTATACCGCCTCATAAAGATGGAAATAGCTAAAAGGGAGATTTTGGAATCCTCTTCGAAGCCCTACGGTGTTCCCACTAACTTCATATGTGTTTGTGAAATTGGGAGAAGTAAAAGGAGGAAGTCTGCTGTAGCGTATTCTTGAAATTACGTAACTGTAAAGAAGTGTAGTAGGTAAATGATTACGTGGATTCCTTGGAGATTAGGCCTCGACATTAACAGTATTTTTCTAAGGAGGTTTGGTAGTGCTGGTCTCAAAAGTTGCGTGTGCTGACTGGTATGAAATCTGACACTTTCTAGGTGATGACTCATTACATTTGCTACTAAAATATTTTAGTAATCAAGCCACCTCAAAGTTAGTGGATAGTTGGCATTTCTAGGACCTGATCATTTTTTTAAATTTTTGTCAGGTCAACCAAATAAAAAGACAATCACAAAACGAGTTCTGTGCACATTGTTCATTTATATTACTGCTCACGGTCATGCCGAGCAGTAGGATTTGTTGCCGACGTTTCACTAAAAATAATGGACTGAGAAGAGATTACCTGTAGACTTTTAATCTAACCTACTATTTCATATTATGATAAATCAATTTTTTTTATATGACAACTGTCTTTGATTTGAAGTCTGCATCTAAGAATCTATTCAGGAGCTCAAAGTTTTTGTGAACCGCGTTATATCATTTTAGTCAATGCGGTTGTCACATTCTCCATCTCTCTGCCCACCTTTTCACAGCATGCAGTCAACAGAGCGAATCTCAAAACAGGTAATTTAGCGTTCTAAAGATAAGCTGTGTGATGCGTTGCATGAATTAGGTCGTGTGTGATCACATGTTTGGAGCAATGACGTCAAAAACCAAATAAAGTTGTGCAAGACATAGGCGAAAGCAGGCTCATCCGATGGTCTTTGACCAACTAGTATCGGTATGTGACAAGAGTGGCTAAAGGCAGTAATGGTGTTGGTTAGTCATCACAATTACCAAACTCAAATCGACTTACCCTCCATGCAAATTCTGCTTGATTCCAGTGACTGGATTTCGGATTTTGAACCAAAATAGAATTGTTTCTGCAGTAGTGATTCTAACCACAGGTTAAATTTCGCTTTTACTTTGTGAAGCAAATTTTTCAGCCAATGCTGCTCAAATTGTAACTCACGTGTGACACACTTTATATCACCCAGTTTTTGCTGACTAGGCACAATGAAAACTGGGTCAACAAATTAATGCCAAGACGCATTTAAGCGGAAATAGGGAATAGCTTGCACGGATTCGGGTATTTTC